GTGCAGCCACACGGCTTCCAGCAGCGGCAGCACGCGGCAGGAAATGGCGGCAGCAGGCAGTGTGTGGAGAGGACCGCCCCGAACACGAGGAGAGGACGAGAGAGAGAGAGGGCGTGCCGCGCTGCCTCTTTTATGGGGTTTTCGGTGCTCCCGATTGGCCGGTTTTGTATTTCCGGGCTTTTCAGCCAATCAGACGGGACCTAGTCCCGCCCCTGCTTCTGGCCACGGCTCCTCCCCTGCAGCAGCTGCCCCCCCACACACACAGGCGGTTTCCTGCCGTGTGGAGACGCCATTTTAAGTCAGTTTTGTCGGCTGACTCAAAGGACATTTCATGTTCGTGTAAGGAAATACCTGGTCCTTCACACCACGTTGAAGTGTTTGCTCTGCTAAGTGGTTAAACAAGCTAGAAGAAGAAAGGTCGTGTGGATTGGGCCTGTCTGCACATCTGCTTTCATAGCCTTGCCATGGGGTGTGTGGGGTACTTCAATCTAGGTATATGTCAGCAGAAGGGGTTTTTTAAGCAGACATGGTTGTATCATTTTTGAATGAATGAACTGAACCAATGAAAACTCCCCTGCCAAGCAGGTGCTCATTGCAGGCAAAGTGATGCCAGGAGAATTTGTGATAGATCTAGGACAAAATCTGGATGTTTCCTGCAGAACTTCACATTTGGCTGTAATCAATTTGTTTCTGAGTTCTCATGTTTGACTCTGCACCTCAACTTTACCTTCAGCTTGGTTACTTCGCTGCTGTGCTGGTTTAACATGCCTGGCATTTTTTGAGATTTCAGTTCACTTTACAGTAGCACAAATCATTGTGTTTGCAAAGGCAGTAACTACATACAGAACTGTGGGATTGTTGAGGCTGGAAGGCACTTCTGGAATTGGTTTAGTCCAGCCCTTGCTCAAGCAAGGTCAGCTAGAGCAGGTTTCCCAGGACTGTGTCCAGCCAGGTTTTGTATATCTTAAGGATGGAGACTCCACAACCTCTCTAGGCAGCCTGTTCAAGCATCTTCACTTTAAAAAAGCGTGGGTTTTAATGTTCAGATGGAGTTTGCTGTGTTTCAGTTTGTGCCCATTGCCTGTGATCCTGTCGCTGGGCACCATGGAAAGTCTGGTTCCATCTTCCTTACACCTTTCCATCAGATATTTATAAACATTGATAAGGACTTAATGATCTTGAAGGTCTTTTCCAACCTTAATGATTCTATGATTCAATTCTATGAAATTATAAGATTCTCTCTTCTCCAGGCCTAACAGTCCCAGCTCTTTCAGCCAGTTGTATGATATGCTTCAGTTGTTCAATTTTCTTAGTGAGCCTGTTTTACTCAACTGGGTTAAATTCATACCTGTCTTGTCCTGGGAAGCCCAGAGCAAGAGTAACATAGTCACAAACCCTCAAGCAACTGGAAAAATAGGCTTATTGTGTAAATCACTGTATTTATTTTAAAATAGAGCTATCCTCTTAAGCCCTTTTGAAATTATGGTTCTTCATTATGGATATCAAAATATATTTTATGTTGCCTGTTCAATTAATTTGAGGATATCCTGTGTTCTCTAAAAGGCTGATGCATGTTCTGCTTTTGCTTCTAGAACACTGAGATCCCCTGCACCTCTGACTCCTACCAAGATGTTGAGGTCATAAAGCCTGCCCAGAAGGTTAGTAATGTAGTTGTTTAACACTGAGGAGCTGTATTTTAAATCCCCTGGGATGGGGATCATTTCTTCCTCATTCCTCCTTGATATTTTTTGTTGATGGTATGGGGATTTTTTTAAATCCTTCCTGCAGAGCTGTGAAATCTTTCCACCCCCTCAAGGTAGTCAGACCGCAGAAACAGACCAAGAGGTTAGTGATGCTTTAATTTTACACTTCTAAGTTGTATTAAAAACTCATGAGGTTGTGCAGCTGGAAGATTCCATGAACTTTTGAAGTATTTTGCATTGTGGGCTTATCATCTGCGCTTGAAAAAATGTGGAGCATTTTTTTCAAATAATAAGCAAACTTGCAAAGGTACTGCTAATCAGGAACTTTCTGAGAGATAAAAATTGCATTCTGTTGTTCTCTGCAGGGTGAGGGGCCTTCATAGTTGCTTACATATTTTAGCTATCACATTTTTCATCCTCTGAAATTGGAAAAGAGACATCTTTTTTAAAGAAACACCTGTGAGGAAATTTGCAGTCTGGAGCAAAAAATGGAACAAAATTTTTGGGTACCATAAATAAATACATTTTCCTTCTAGGCTGTATTTTGGATGTCTCTGGGGGACTTGTTACAGTGGAGGATGTGCAGAAGGTTCTCGTGGCTTTACATTTTCTGTACCAACTTAATATTTTTCATGCTTCATTTTCAGTTGGTTTTAACACAACAGCATTAATGCAGAAGTATCTTTTTTGGGAATGACTTGTAAGTGATTGCTTAGAAGTGGTATCACACATGCAGATTTTTTCCATTGTAGATGCAGATAGCTGAAGATTTGCACATTGCTCGTATTCAAAAGAGGATAGCCCTGCCTGTAGTACAGACTTGTGGAGAACTTACAAGTATGGAAATAGATCCTCCAGAGCAGGATTTAAATGTTTCTGCTGGTACGTCATGATTTAATGGTCTTTCCTATCTGCTTGCAATGAGTCATTACAGTTGTTTAATGATTTGAGGAGAGAGCACACGACTGATTCTTTCACAACTGTTTTTGGTTTATTTTTTCTCTTCCCCAGAGGCTTGTACTTCTGGTCTGAACATGTTAGTGGTGATTGACACAAATATAATGATTAGTCACCTTGAGTTTGTCATATCCCTGAAAGCTGAGGATATACCAGGTATGTGAATACATGGTGATCAATAAAAAAACCAGGTGTTCTAAGAGCTTCAGGTTGCATGAAGAAAACCAAGCCTGGGCTCCTTAAACAGTCAGCAGGTTTCATGCAGAGGCAGAAGGCTCACACTTAAGCTGGTTCTGTGAACCCATATAGGCTGCCTCATAAGAAAAGTTCAGCTATGCAAGTAGAAACTATTTTCATTAGCAAACTTCATCCTGCAGTTTGCTAATTAAAATTAGCTAATAGCTTACAGCAGCCTTCAGAGCATACTGAAGGCTACAGTAGTCAAATACCTTATGTGCTTATGGCCACCTGGAAAACAACTTTGATAAGGGCTTAAGTAATTTTCAAGAGAATGTCAGACTGTCCATATTAGGAATGGTGTTGCATAGTGTACAGTGGGATGCCTTTTTTTGGAATATTGCAGCTCCCAATTTCTGGTCCTGCACCAGACCCATTATATTCTGAAGGTTACTGATTCCTGAGCTATTTATTACAAAGCAAATGGATATTAAAGGATTATTTTTTTTTTTATTGTGTTCTTACAATGTGAATGGGAAAGGAAACAGTTGAAGTGTTTGGCATGGCTGGACCAACAGAACAGCCATTATTATATATGAAATAAATGGAAAATCAGAAATTAAGTTGTAAAGTTCAAACCATACTTGCACACAAATAAAACCATGGTCCAATATCCATGCTTCCTGTGCCTGGCTTAGGAATGCTCTTTCACAATAAGCACAAACCTTTTTTTTAACAGTTGGGTTTGTACAGTGACTGTTGTGGTCATTCAGGTATTTTCAGTCTGTCTTTCAGCTGCTGTCACCTTGCTTTACGAGTCTGTTAGGAAGTTAATTGCTGCAAATATATTTTACAGCTTTGCTACACACTGTTGTCAAAGTGTTCTGTTGATTAAAATGGCTTGTTCCTTTTGTTTGCCTAGTATTGTCATTTTTACATGTAACCAGTTTGAGGTTAGATTAGAAAAAGGGAACTGGGCCTTTTTCAGTTATTAATTTTTTCATGCTAGTTGCTCTTGAGCAGGGAATATGGAAACTGCTGGCAAAAAAGCTGTGTGAGCTTGTAAATATATTTGAATTAAAAGCTATCTGTAGTAGTTTGCGTGGCCTTTCAAAGTGTCTTTGTGTTATTTTTCTGTTTTATTTTGTTTTGTTTTCCTTCTAGGAGTTGGCAGACTTGCATTAATAATTCCTTGGGTCGTTCTACAAGAGTTGGACAACTTGAAGAAAGGAAAAATGTTGCAGCATGTCCGGGACAAAGCTATCCCTGCAGTCCAGTTCATCTACAAGTGTCTCAAAAACCAAGATCCAAAATTGTGGGGGCAATCCATGCAGCTTGCTTGTCAAAAAATGTGTAATGTATTTACAATCAATTTGTTTTGGGTACTTAATCCTTGCAGTTAACCTAGTGTGAGACTTAGCACTAAATTTTAATAGTCATCACTCTGCAGTTTGCTAATTAAAATTAGCTGATAGCTTACAGCAGCCTTCAGATCACATCCAAGGCTGTAGTGTGCAAATACCTTATTTAGATAAGTGCTTTGTTTCCTGTTTTATTAGTTGTTTCTCACTTTTAGCTACATCTGTTGCTGAGGTGGGGATTGCTTAAAGAGCATTCATCCAGTTACTACTTTTATCTCTGAGCAGCACCTAGGAATTCAAAGCAGGCTTGTGCTTAGCATGCACTTCTCCATCCTAGCTTGGGCAGTACCACATTTACAGCCAGTACCATGACTGCAGTGAAGTGTTTCTGATGTTGAGTTACTTCTGAACATCTCAGCACTGTCCCCACTGAATTTCCAGACGGCCTGAGTTACGAGAACAATGACGATCGTGTTTTGCAGTGTTGTCTGCAGTATCAGAGCCTCTTCCCTCAAAGTGTTGTCATACTCTGCACGTGAGTTCTGTGTGTTTTTTAGTCCTTTATGAGGTGTGAGTTTGTCTCGTGACACTATTTTCAAGAGCAGTCTTTTTGAAGAACAATCACTGTCTTAAAAGCTAGAGTAGAAAGATATAGCAGAACACAAAGGTTGTGGACTTCATCACCTTCTCTGCTTAGGGCCTGAAATAGAATGAAGTTTACCCAATATTCAATTTAAAAAACTTCTTAAAGCGTAATTTTTCTCAGGCTTTTATTCCAATTTATCATTAAAAATGTTGTTGGAGTTCTAAAACAGAAAAAGTTATTTCTCTTAGTTGAGGTCTGTACAGGTACACTGTATTGGTAGGGCTGTTGTTAATGATTTTAGGTTTCTCTGGGTAAAGAACAGGAGGTGCCCTCAGAAGGGCTTTTCTTCTGAAAACCCCTTCATCGTTTACTATTATAAGCAATGGACATTTTTGAGAAGGTACTAGGATCCAACTTCTTACTGCATCTTGATGGTAGTTCTGCTGGAGCAGTATGTGGCATCTGGGACAATGATTTGGCCAGTAGAACAGTAAAATAAGGTGTAGAAAATTAGGATTAATTGTAGCAATCAAATAAGATATCACTGTCTTAGAATTACTGCCTTGTTTGCATTCTAAGATCATAGCAAATAGACATCATTGCTGTAGAATTTATAGCTTTTTTTTTTTTTTAAAGCAAACCTAGACCCTGAAATATTTCCAGTATGTTTCTATTTTTTTCGGAGTAGCAGCTGTAGTTAATTTTCTGGTTTAATTCCTTGAACTGTTTCTAATTGCTTGAGGAGGAAATCTTCGTATCCAGTGAAGCTCACAAAATAAGTTTATTTTAAGACTATTTTTTTTGGTGCATTGCATTTATGACTGTGTAGTATTGTCAGTTTTATGTCAACAATTAGTTCTCTTCTCCTAGGGATGATAAAAATTTATGTAACAAAGCCATTGTGAGTAACATCAAGGCATTCTGCAAAGCTGATTTGGTTATTGCTCTACAGAATCTGAATGTAAACAAGCACCAGAAGTGTGTTGAGATGCAACCATCAAAATGTGGTAGGTTTGTTTAATCTGCACGTATAAATATGCTGGTTTTGAGACATGTAATAATCATTGTAGGAGAGGGAGAATAATTTCTACTATAACTTCAGTTTTCATGTTCTTTGAGTTCTTAGGACTGCCTTTTGTTTGGGGCAGGATTTTTATTTGTAAAGGGAAATAGTTTTCTGAACATTGGAGACCTTTATTCAAATATCCGTCCCTTAGAGTTCTAAGAAATCCAGATTTTTGTTTTATAGAAAAAAGACAGCGTGGATTTCCTGTATTTATAGTCAGTTAAAAGGTGTCCTGAGCTTTTTAGGACTTGTGGTGGCAGAGACCACCTCACTGTGTCAGCACCAACCAGCGTTGTTCTTGCTGTGGTTACAAGGGTGGTTGGCCCAACATTGTTCTGGTTTTGATCCCAAGGGCAGGGGATTGGGACAACCTGGCACTGTCTGACCTTGTCTTCTGCAGCAGTGACTGGTGACAATCTGGTACCTCCTTGTCCTGGTACAAGTACAGTGAATTGGGACAATGAGGCCCTCCTAGACTGCACCAGCAACTCCTGCCTGGGAGATGTACCTGAGAGCCCTCCTGCCCTGACCACAGCCCACTCTGACAGTTGCCAAGATTACCTGATCAAAATTATGGCCACAGTGGAAATTTACTGACCCAAGTCAGTCATCCTATGACCCTGTAAATTAAGTGAGGCCTTTGGAACACTCCAGGATCACAGCAGGCTGCTGCCCCATGATAATTCCTGAGGAGAGTCAGACTGTCCGCTGACAAACGGTGATGAAGGGACAAGAGTTAGGAGTTTCATACCATCCACTGATAGAAGTTAGCAAAGGGGAAAGAGGGAGT